ATATATATATATATGCATATTTAAAAACTAAATCCAAGTAAAGTGATAATCTTCCCAAAGAAGGTTGGTTCTTGAACAGCTGCTGCTGAAAGGACTGTGCAGGGTGGGTTCGTTTTGTAATAAACCAGGTTAATACTAACCAGGTTAGTTTAATTGTTTTATTGGTGCTTTTATCTGTGATCAAAGGGTGTCATATAACAGTGAGCATATGGAAAATGTAACCCATCATCATTGGGGTGAATAACAGGAGAACTGGACTTTATGGGCTGAAGGGCTCAAAGGACAGTTGACAGTTTATATTACGTCAACAAAGGGACAAACTTGGAAAGGGCCTGTAAAGCTTCGACCACAGCGTGGTATATGAACACCCACTCCTGCTAGGAGCCTCGTTAACGGCTCCATACGCCTCCACTGCCCTGCATGTTGCAGCACACCTGATTAAAGCTGGGCATAGTTGCATTTGCAATATTATTGCAATTGAGAAAAATCCTATTTTCAAGTCACAGAGGCTCTCAATGTTTAATCTCCCACCTGCCCATTAGGGGGCAGTAATGTTTAAAGTGGGCATGCTGTTCCACAGAGGGCAAGAAGTTACAGCTAATCCATTAATGCATTATTGTAGAAGTAAGAACTTGTTTGTGCAAATATTACAGTAAAGTCCTGCAGTCCTGGACTCTGGACTAGCAGACCTTCCAGGTCATGAAGAAACCCTGGAATAAAAACATCCACATGATTGTGATTAGATCAAAGGATTAAACTGCAGTAGTGATTGAAAGTAATCGCAGTTTAGCTTTAGGTAAAATGAGCCTTAATCTAAATGATCACATGGACTCCCCCAGCAGCCACCAGGCGTGTCCATAGAACCACTGCCGTCATTTCAACAAGTTTACGTATCGCTGACTCAGCACTCCGTTCTGACTCGCAGACGTGTCCCTCTGTCTGTCCCTGCAGGATTGTCCGTAAGATGGCACTGAGGCATTCTGATTCATCAAGTCCCGAGTCCGGATTGAGGAGAGCTAATCCCAGTCCCAACATGAGGCAGAAGAAAGGTCAGTGGTCCCACCTGGTCGCTTCTAACCGAGGTCAGAAGAATGAATCCGTCTGAGATCATTGAATGGATTCATTCCAAGATTCCAATAAACACGAAATAAACAGCTGACACCACCTGCTGGTGTTCACTAGGAAACTGGTCAACCCTCCACCTGTCTGCCTACCTCCACCTGTCTACCTCCACCTGTCTAACCCCCACCTGTCTACCTACCTCCACCTGTCTGCCTACCTCCACCTGTCTGCCTCCACCGGCCTTACCCCCACCTGTCTACCTACCTCCAC